TAGATTCAAAAAAATGGCCAAGATCATAAGTTCATCCGGGATTATATCGTGTCGGTTCAACCAATATCTAGTGCATATATATTCTGACGAGATCACCTTGGACGAGCTAATGGCGCATCATCGCGGCAGCAGCGACGTATATCCAAGCATATCATCATTTACGACAAGCCAATAGCTTGAACTTGGACATACTTGGCGTGGAGCGCTGCATCATCGTCGTAGATGAGCTCATGGTGCTCGGCTCGCCGATCACGGCTCAACGCCACTCTACGCAGCCCCGCTTCATAAGCACCTAAATGTACGGTAGATAATCTCGTGAATTTTATTGTCCAGTTTTTTTGCATAAGTTAAATATAATACAGCATAGAGGAACACGACGAGAGACAAACCGATATAGATCACTGATTGAGAAACCGCAGCAGCCCAAGGTCTAGAGAAGGGGGAACACTCAGGGCACACGTGCCCCCCGATAGGTGGGGGATAAAGTAATGAGGAGAAAAGAAGATTATGCGGAATTGGACCGGCCACCCGTGAACAGACTGACAATCTTTTTCCACATCCCCCCACTTGGCTCCTTGATCTGGTCCTCTCCGACAAACCCGACGATAATGTTCCCGCTCGTACTCGTAATGTTGGCATAATCACCTTCGTACGATGATGTCCTGCCACTCGTGTGGGGGTGTAAAAAGTCGGAAAAGCCACCAGGTATGAAGGAGGGAGAGGCTCGGCCGTACGAGGACACGGGGTCCGATGTGCGGAGTCGAGGAGAGGATGCGGAAGAAGCGGTGGGAGATGGTGAAGTGACTTTGATCGACGGCGCAATCATCACGAGCGCGTCGTCGTCTCGAGCAGACACGACCTCCATTGCCCCTGCTACACTAGGCAGTAGCATAATTTCACCGTCCGTGTGGACGTGTAACAGACCTGAGAATGACCTTGGAAGGAACACCTCAATGTTCCCTAGTAAAAGTCAGTCTGGTGCCGTTTCCAGAGCTCGAAAACATACCCTCTACGCTAAAGATTTCCAGATTGATCTTTCGCCCTGGTGCAATATCCATCAACTTTAAATTCGTCTTTCCATGTTTATTTCGGACATCGATATTCGCTCTACTGGCAATATTCGATCCAGACCCTCCGATACTCAGTAAAATCTCCATTATACCCGACTTGGTCTCAAAGAACCCATGGCACGCGGATGGAGCTGCCGAAGGGCGCCACGACAAATCTTGCTTTCCTTTATTCTTCTTTTTATCATTTATCGACGCTGCCGAACTATTCCTCGAATGCGACTTTCCATTTCCCAACGTAGCCGATCGTCGTGCCGTCGCATAATCTGTAACTTCTAGATTCGGATCCACATTATAAACGCCTACAACCTTTACCATCAGTACCGCTAATGATGAAAGAAAAGAGAAAGCGCACCCTGTATAGGTTCCGTCTTGGTTGCGACGACGATATGGTTCATCCACATCCCACTCGTACCCGTCCCCATCAAGATAAGTGTCTCCGTCCCCTTTTTCGACGCCGTCGTCGGTGACCGCGGGACGATACCCACAGCCGACTGCTGAGGATACACAACGGACTGTGAGTCGTTGGCGAACCCCATGAGCTGTTGTTGGTCACCGTGTGGCATCGTGTACCCTCCTTGCATCAGTGCAGCCCTTAAAGTCAAACAATCAGATTCGAATCCGCTTATCGGTGAAATACGAACGAGAACAGGTCACGATAGAGCTTGGGGGGGTATAAAAAGGGGAGGACGAACGGAGAATGACATGGCGAGTTACTTACTTTGGGCTGTCGGGCTTCTCATAGGCTAGATCTACAAACGAGGGATTCCTTCCATCCGATGTCGATGGATAACCCTGCGTTTCTGCGGGTGAGATGATGAGACGGGGGGATGGCAAGGGAGGCAAGGCTTGCGAGCCGCTCTGGGGTGCTGGCACAGGCGCAATAAACCGACTGCCTGGGCCTGCTGCTGTAGTAGGAGACGTATTGTGGGCTGATTGTAGTCTGTTTCTTCCCCCAGGGTGGTTGCTGCTAGTAGACGGCTGTCGTCTGCTGTACGGCGGTGGTTCGTCCTATACCCGACAAAACAACATGAGTATCCAGGTGACACATAAGAACAAGTGTTATTGATGTAATTGTTGGACGAAGAAAGGACGGGCGGCGATGGCGGCGAATACACACCTCGACGAGAGTGGTCTTGTCATTATCCTTGTCGATCATGTTTACGAATCTATGAAATACAAACAGTAGTTTTTATGCAAGATTAAAGAGTGGAAGTTGGAAAGTGTCAAAGTATTGGTCGTAAACAAGGAGGAAGGTTGTAGTAGTGGAGGTGCAAAAACAAACTGCGTACGCAGCGAGTCACAAAACTGCACTGAGAGCGGAGACCTTGGCCGTTGCAAATCCGACTGGAGGCCAGAGGGTGGCCCGAGCCAATCCTTTTCTTACAAATCGATGGATTCTCAGGGGAAAGCCAGGATATCGTACGGGCCGTTCAGTCCAATGGCTTACAGAATCATACCAGTTCGTTACAAAGCGCCCAAACTGTTCTACGAAAAAAAAATAACTAGAATAATCACAGAAATGTAGATAGAATATATAGATTCAAATCATCGTGTAATCTCGTAAATATTGAAACTAAGGCTACACAAAATGGGTTAGTGAATTAGGACCAGAGGTCGAAGGAGGGCGGCTTACCAAAAGATGAATACACAGATCCCATAGACTGTGAGACCCTTGGCAAGGGTGACAAGGAAGCGATCCTTGGGTTCGTCCTTAAACAGTCGCGAGAAGAAGAGTCCAGGGAGGATAAAGGAGATGGTAGTTGAGCCGGTCGACCCGACAAAGGAAAGGACTGGAGAGAGATGGTCAGTACGGGTAGTAACGAAAAGAATGGAAACGAACCGATCTGTAAGCTGTTCACAAAGTAGGCTATTGAGAACCCGCTAATGATGATTGCCGCCGTCAGAAGAGTATGCCGGAGCGGGCCCGCTTCGTCGTGAGCGCCATGATCATAGTCGGCATCCTCATCTTCTTCATGCTCTGCATGCCCATTTCCATTTGCAACAGGGGTTGACGTGGGTTGTTGCTTCTTAAACACCGCATCGACGATCTTGTCGAGACAATTACGGCACGGGTGCACTTGGAGAGGATAAGAGAATAGGACGAGAATGACGATGGCTAATTGTCCAAATGCAATAAAGAGAGAGGTGGCAGGATACATGGCCATGATGTTCGCGCCAACCTTTGAGCCAAAGGTCAAGTAACCCAAGACGGCCACTATTTCATAGATAATGCACGCTCCTCCAATGGAGGAGCCAATCACGATATTCATGCGTTCTTGTGTATTGCTCTTGAGTTCGTTGTAGATTGGGAATAACTATAGCAAGCTTAGCCTCGGCCTCGCATCAACCAAAGGGTGTACCAACGTTTTGAGCACATGTATATGCAAATACTTGAACCGGGAAATTTGCAATGAAGGATGGCGTAAAGTGAATAAGGTGAACCTCGCCACGCTCAATCATCCCTTTGGGAGGGAAGATATAGCATACAACGACAATAACGACGAGATAGGCTAGATAGAGTGAATGAGTGCCATTCAATAATCGAACAAGGTACGCCTTACCGACGGAGAATAAGGCCACGTAGCTGGTATGTCGTAACGAATGCAAGTCTCGTAGGAAACATAGGGGCACAAGGATAACCATGAACATGGAAATCCACATCCTTCCAGACAGTGCCCACTCTGGTGGATCTGATGGTAGTAGGTTATGGTACAGTGATTCCACGACACTCGGCATGAGTCCCTTGATGATGATCAAATAGCTATGAAGAAAAAGTCAGACCACTGAGATCTCAGGGGTCAAATGGATGCTTGCCTTATAGATACACCAAAGCATTTGATGGCAATGGCCGCGTCGAACCAGACTGACGCACTCGGAAAGGTCAGTTGCGACACCGCAAAAAATGATGATCGTCGGTACGGCGTCTTGGCGGCACAACGAGACAGGAAATACAATCCCAGTGAACCAGCACACGCAGAGAATATACATGTTAATACACCGGGGATAAGTCCACCAGACGCCATGGCCTATTAAGGAAACGTAGAAAATTCAGTGATCAACAAACACGCCCTTTCCGCAATATGGAAGTGAAGAGTGATACTTACAAGGGGGAAAGACAACATTCCTGTCCCTAGGATGGTATTTGCGAGATTTCCGACCGAGGAGCGCAACTGGGCCTTGCCCTCCTTTCGATTCGGCGTTCGAGGTTCTGTTCGGCGTGAATTGCCCAGTAATGGTTGATTTAGGGCTGCATCATCCTCTTCTTGGTATATTTGCGCCATTTCGAAGGACGTATTGGCTATAGGGGGGATGGGTAGTGGGGTCCGGTGGACAGCGCGCGGTTCAAGCCTTGACCCGTCGCTCTCTACCATAAACGGTGCTTGCATCACTTTTCCTCCACTTGGGCTCAAACAACGACTTAGTAGACATATCTAAACTGGAATATTTTCGGATTCGGTATTTGGAGAGTGGGATAGGAGGATAACTCTGCCTTCAACGAATCCCTCGTTTGGTCCAGACGCCGCAAATAAATCTCTCCCTACATGCGCAACAATATACCCTTTCATATGATACGGCATCAATATAGTTATTTCTTTGCTTATTGAATGGTGAAAGCTACCAATCGCATTCTGATGCAAAGAATTATCGGTATGTTTATCAGTGGAATAATACAAGGGTAATCTAATGATACTCTATTCAATATTGAAAGTCCAAAGGACGAAGCAGAAGCGTTTGTGACTGGTTTAAATTTCGGATGCCTCAGGATGTTCCTGTTGAGTAGTCCCGGACTGCATAGACGACCTTGAAGTGGCAACATGTTCCTTTCTGTCTTGGTCACTAGGGGTCCTTGGCAATCTACTGGTTGAATGAGCCATGGAGCGTCTAGGTGCTTCAAAGTCCTACCTTGGTCCCCTTCTGGGCTGGATGTCAACCAGAATCGTAGGGATTTCGTATCCTACTCCCCTTATTTTCGAATTCATCTGTGATCGTATAAGCGGAAATCTCTCTTCAAGGAGAATGGAGCCGGTAGCGATACCCGGTACTGACCGAACGTTGCTCACATTGCGTTTCTTCATCTCTAAGCCTTCTAGAATCCGAAATTTGACTGATAGAGGCAGATCTCTTCGGAGCTGCCGAGTTTGTTCGCCAGAAAGAAAGGTTCAACTTGGCTGGACCTGTTCCTTGGTTGGACCACGGGGCTTTAGCAGCAAATCTTTTCGTAACCTCCGAAGAATCGGTTCTCTTTTTGGGTTCTGCTTTGGTAGGTGGAATGATACGGGGAACTTGTCCAACCACGGCCAGCGTTGGGCTGGATGCTGATCTCTTCAAAGGCTCCGACTGCTCTCGGTTCTTCGGAGCTTTATGCGAAGAGGTTCGAATCCGTTTATAGCTCGGAATTTGCAGTTTATCTGGATCCTGGACCTCGTCCTCTGCCATTGGGATGCAAGCTTTGAAGGCAGCAGACGTTGCAGAGAGCGGCGTGGCTACTGTGAGCATAATGTCTGGGACTGATAACTTGTGCGACGATGATGAGTGGTTGCTTGTGTTCATGACTCAAAGGGGAGATGGAAATGGTCGGTGGAAATGTGGCTGGCCAAAGGGAGCAGGTGGGTCCATTATCCATTTTCTTGGCGAGTAATAATTTATCTTAAAGTCAGTAAAATTTATATTTACCATATAACGGGACGCTGGAAAGATACGGACTCATGCAACAAAGTCATGCATGTTCCTGCTCGTCGTGTAAAGGCGTTAAATGAATTGCGAATAAGGATTTCACATACACGATGAATCAGCTTATTAGAGGATCGATAAAGGACTTTGAATTGTGAGGCATCCTCATCTCTGGTCGGAGGAAGTAGGGTAAAATGAAGCGACGACTACTAGGAAAATTAATGTGAGAAATTTCCTCTGGTTACGGTTTCTCAAAGCTCAAGAATGACAGGAGGTCTGCAAAGCTCGACGTCAACTGCAATTAGGTTTATGGCAAGCGACTGGCAAAATGACGACCAGGTTTATTGACAGGGAGAGATTTCAGTCTCCATGAAAAGACCTTGATATCCATGCTCAGTCGCACTTCAACTTTATCGAGCGAATTAGAAATTGGCTGGAGGATTGCAGGTGGTAATCAGACCTTGAAGAACTGTTCTATAATACCTCCCCCTAATCTATTCCTTGAATATCACCAAATCAGTTGAGTACTGCATTATTCTCTTTAAAACCCCTATTAACTGTTTTTCGGCCAAATCTCGACATCACTGTCTATACCATTCATTAGAATACTATGAATTGGTACCACTGTGCTATTAATCGAGTACTAGGGCGAATTTCCGAAAGAGAATACTTCCTACCTGAATCTATGAATGCTCCTGGAACTAAATCTGCGATTCCTTCGAAGTTCGAGATGAAACCAGACAATTTACCTTCCTCTAACGGTGTCTATATTGACGAAGCCGACAACGAAATTGTCTTTGACCTTGAACCGAGTCGCTATCCATTCAAGATCCAACTAGAAGAACAATTGCCAAAACGCATGATCGAGCAATTCCGACATATCATCAGTGACAAGCCGATTAATCCCGAATTCCAGAAATACTGGGATAAACGACACCGTCTCGTCTTCCCCCCTATTCGTTCAAGTAGCGATACCCACCTATTACTGCTCGACTTTTGGACACTCGCCACCCGTTACCTCAAATACATCCAGCCAAAGCATGAGTATCAACCTGGAATCAACATTCTTACTCAAGATAGGCGTGTATTAACGGATGTCTATGTACGCATGGGTTCCAAAATTGTAATTGTGGCAGACGCCATAGACCCAGCCCTCGATGACATCTATGCCGCAGACCTAGTCAGTCTGGCAGCGGGAAAGCAATCGTCGAGCTTTGAGGGAGATATACCTGAGGTAATTCATGGACACGAAGCTATTCTCTCAAAGGTGATTTGAATCCGTTTTCTATCACACCAGCCAATACTAAACGAATGTTGAATCAGTTATGCTATGCGATTATGGACGAATGCGAAGAAAAACCTCGTTGGGCCATGATATATGGTGGGAATAATTATGTCATTTACCTCGTGCTTCCTGTCTTGGTGGGTAGTACAAGACGATGCGTATTGGTTTCTTCTGGCGCCCTCTCTATCGATGACACAGAAACTCCCTTCGTTTCTATCATGATGTATATGTTGCTTTCCTCGGATATGTCTCATGAGAGCATCGCCAAAACCCTAGGTATCGAACCCATCGCGGGTGTTCTAATTACCGCGTCGAATCAGATAGGCGAACTAAACGGGAATGCATCAGAGCCAGCTCCTGTCGATTGTAGGTCCCTCCAATCAAAGTCTGAAGATGTGTAGGTCTAATGATAACGACTGAAGTGACAGCTCTCTCCACTGCAAAAGTTATATACATCAGTAGCACCCTCGATCCTTCTGCGCAACTGCCTTTCACTCGTTTACCTAGTGATCTCAAACCCACTGAGGATAGTCATTATGGCAACGAAGATTCCCTCAATATCCTACTGCAATATCGCATAGCAGGGCTTGCAAGTATTGTTTATCAAGCGAACGGAATTCTTGCAAAGACACCCCTTCCATCATTCGAGAGTGAATTCGAGGATGAGGTCGATACATATCGGCATTTGATGCGGACGAAAGCATCCCAATTTATTCCAACATTTTATGGCTGTTTCAAATACCGAAACGCAAAGATCATGATCTTATCCGATGACGGAACATCCTTACAAAGCTTTGACGGACTCTCCGAGCAACTAAGGTACGGACTGTACCTCAATACGATATTTTATAGCTTAGGTGAATCTAGACAGGAAATATTCAACATGTTGTGGGATATCCATGAAGCACATGTAGATATCCCGGGGTTCGGTCCCAATAGTGTGGTGATCGGGGGTAATGGACCCACCATTATCTTGATAGGTGCAAGCATGAACCACGTTTGCCCCGGAACCCTGAAATGTGATATGCTTCAAAATGCTCGACGTATGCTGAAAGTCACAGAGTCATTCGTACATATCATTCGGGTCAAGGCGCATAGTCACGAGGGCGTAGTTCCAAACTCGCCATCCTAACCGTTACAGAGAAAAGCTCGCTCCTTGTCCTGTCCTCCTTCAGCGTAATCGTTCAGTATAATTGTAAGCTTTATGCGCCACTTGTGAACATGCTAGAATCAATCTGATTATATCATAGGTTCTGTCAACGATGGCTGGCGGGATGCAGGTGGTAGCCAGAACTCACACTGTACATTATCCTTGCTCTTCAAACTATTTCATAAACTGAATTCTAGTCATGTAGTTGAGAATTTTACCCTCTTGTGGACAACTTTTAACCAATTCCCTCCAGCCAATCTCGGTATTATCGACACCAACAAGGCCATATCGCACAAAATGAAGTGGATACAAGATACCATCCGTCAAATTTTAGGACATAAAGTTGAGATATCTGAGCAGGAGTATTTCCTTCCCGAAGTCTCGGGCAAAGCAGGACACGCCTCAGCAATACCTAGAAGGTTCGAAATGGAGCCAGAGAACTCATCTCGCTCCAATGGAATCTATGTCAACGAAGACGATGAAGAACATGTGTACTATCTTGAACCGTTTCGATACCCTTACACGATTCAGTTCGAGGAAGATTTGCCGAAACGCATGATCGAGCAGCTTCAACGTGTCCTCAGAGACGATCCAATTGATCCTATATTCCGCGAATACTGGGACGCACGACACACGCTCGTCTCTCCTCCTATCCGGTCCATAAGCGATGTAACTCTCTTTTTGTTCGATTTCTGGAACCTTTCAATCCGATATCTTCGTCACATCCAGCCAGAAATCGTACCTTGGGTTGAATTTGGTGCTATCACCCAAGATAGACGTATCCGAACAGACCTCTATGTAAAGACACGTTCTAAAACTATCGTTCTAGCAGATACCATAGACCCAGCCC